TGGCATTGCCAAGGTAGACCTAAGACCTTCCTTGGGTTTTGAGAGTGGGGTGAGGGCTCCTGTTAGTCTCTGACTTCCTGTGGCTTGTGTGCCCCTAGAACGTGTGGGCTGTGCTGGATCTGTATGGGCCAGTACGGAGTGTGTCTATTGTCAGCTCCACGAAGGTGGAGGAGCCAGAAGGCACCCAGCCTCCTTCCCCCAGCTCAGACACTGGCAGTGAAGGCGAGGAGGACGATGAAGGCGAGGAGCACGCGCTGGGAGTAAGAGGCTGCAGCAGGGCCTGCTGGGCTCAGGGATGGGCAGTTGGTGGGTCACTGGACACCAGGTCTCTTTTGCTGTCTCTGACCCAGGATACTGCTGGACAAGCAGAGACTCATGGTCAAGCTCATCGTAACTTCAAGGGGGTGGGTCGGGCACAGCCTCAGCCACCCTAGCAGCTCAGTCTCTTCTCTACACCAGGGCCAGAATCAAGTGGCCATTATGCCCACAGCCCTTGAGTTCCTGGAGAACCATGGGAAGAACATCCTTTTATCCAATGGGAACCGTACAGCCACACGGGTAGCCAGCTACAACCAGGGCATTGTGGTCATCAACCAGCCCCTGGTGCCCCAGCTGCTGGTCCAGGTGGGCCTTGTTTCCATACTCCTATTCTTTTACTTCTAGTGACCTAGACCCAACCTTTACAGGTTGAGGGACAAGTGGCAGGCAGACCCTTTGCATGAAGTTCCTGGGCTTTTGTTCATACTCTGTAGTGGGGATTGCCAATCAATCACCCCATTTGCCCCCTAGATAGCTAAGGGCTGTGATGAGAGAAGCAGTGGGGAGGGGCTAGGGAAGTCCAGAGGTGATGCCTGATCCTGTGTATGGGAATAGGGAAGGAGGCGGTGCTTTCTGCTGCAAACTGAAAGGTATGTGAAAGTTAGCCGGGTAAAGGAAGCACCTTGGCATGAGGGTCCCTGCAGAGGCAACAGTAAGACTAGGTGCAAAGGGAAGGAAACAGCTGAAGGTGTGGCCTCTAGTCCCTCTAAGCGTGAGCACAGGCAGCATCCCAGGCCACCTGTGGGGAAATGCAATTATCCCTTTCTGGTGGGTGAGGAACCTACTTCTGTTGCCTGGGTGGCCCCTTCCCAGGAGGCCATGACAGGGGAGTAGTTACTGTCTCCCCCAGGTGCGGATTGACTTCCTGAACCGACAGTGGACGTCTTCCCTTGCCCTGGGAGTCATCACCTGTCCACCAGAGAGGCTCAACTTCCCTGCTTCTGCCTGTGCCCTCAAACGGGCAGCCTGGCTGCTTCGGGGCCGTGGCGTCTTCCACAACGGTCTCAAAGTAAGGAGGGAGTTAGCGAGAACGGAGAGGAGAGGCCAGACAAAAAGGGGAGTGGGCCCTTAGCTCTGGACATGGGACCAAGAGAATAAAGAGAGACTGCTCCATGCCTGGCCCTATACTGGGTGGGCAAGGGGAGGAGTGTCATTAACTGTCTCAGTTCCAGGCTGATCCCCTCTTCCTGTCCGTGCTGTTGAGAATGTCACAGTTGGGGGAATGGGAGGTAACTGAAGTAGGGCAGCATGGAAGCAAGCCCAGGGTCTGGTGCTGCAGCTGTGCGGGGGGCGGGGCGCTGGTAGAGGCTGGTCTCTGGAAGACAGCAGGTCTCTCCTCCCAGATCTGTGAGAAGTTGGGGCCAAATCTGGACACGTGTCCCGAAGGTACCATCCTGGGACTGCGGCTGGACAGTTCTGGGGGGCTGCACCTCTATGTCAATGGGGTAGACCAGGGGGTGGCTATGCCAGATATCCCCCAGCCCTGCCATGCACTCGTGGACCTCTATGGGCAGTGTGAGCAGGTCAGTGGCAACGGAGGGGGTGTTGGGGAGACTGGGTTTTTGGACTGAAGGGGCAGGCTATGGTCAGAACAGGGGCTCAGCCTGCCCGAGGGCTGCCCAAGAGCTGGTTGACCACTCCTCTCCCCTGCAGGTGACAATCGTGAGCCCTGAACCAGGGGCTGCCAGTGGCAAGGGTGCTGCAACTCAAGGGGACATGGAGAAAGCTGACATGGTGGACGGTGAGACAGCTTGAAGGAACCAGGCTCTGACATCCACACCCCATACCCCAGCATTTGTAGCCCCAGCTCCTGTCACCGATTCTACCTCTGCTTCCTCAGGTATTAAGGAGAGTGTATGCTGGGGGCCGCCCCCAGCTGCTAGTCCTCTAAAGAGCTGCGAATACCATGCCCTTTGCTCCCGTTTCCAAGAGTTGCTGCTGCTTCCTGGTGAGTTCCCAATTCTTGCCTGAATCCGCCTCATTCCCAGGCCAGTCCAGGGTGATGCCCAGGGCCCTGGAGACCATTGGGAAGAGTGTAGCATGGTCGGGACCCAGGGCGGGAGCCACAGCATCAAGCCTGCCGCTCTCTCCTGCAGAGGATTATTTCATGCCTCCACCCAAGCGTAGCCTATGCTACTGTGAGTCTTGCCGGAAGCTTCGAGGGGATGAGGCCCACAGGCGCCGAGGCGAACCCCCCCGGGAGTACGCCCTGCCCTTTGGTTGGTGCAGGTTCAACCTCAGGTACTGTGGGTAGGGTCATGCATTCCCCTTACTTACTATCCCTTTCCCTTTTGAGAAAGGTGGGCCCACGAGGGCATAGAAGTATAGAACTTCCTGTCTAGGTGGTGACTCTGGGGGAACCAGTAACCATTTCTCTGCTCCATCTCTCCATCGTCTAGGGTGAATCCCCACCTGGAGGCTGGGACTCTAACCAAGAAGTGGCATATGGCTTATCATGGGAGCAACGTGGCAGCCATACGAAGGGTGCTAGACCGAGGGGAGCTGGGAGCAGGTACTGTGGAGCCAGCTGAGGTGGGGCAGGTTGGACCTGTGGGCCATGGGAGGTATGAAAAGGGCTGTCCTCACCCATTCATCCCCACAGGCACTGCCTCCATCCTGAGCTGTCGACCCTTGAAGGGAGAGCCTGGGGTGGGGTTTGAGGAGCCTGGCGAGAACTGTGCACCTCCTCGGGAGGAGCAGCCCCCTCCAGTACTGCTTTCCCCCTCCCTTCAATATGCTGGGGCCGGGACCCTGGCATCCAAAGTGCAGTGAGTATGCAGGAGGGGTCGGGTCAAACTGAGAGGGGACCTAGGGCCACTGGTCTCTCATGATTTGCCTTCCCTTTTCTCCACTGTCTTGCTCAGTTCCTCAGTCTCTTGAATGTTTCATTTATTCATTGAACAAATAGCACTTACTTTGTGCTACCTCAGTGAACAAAAAAAAAGGACCTCCTCTCGTGGAATTATGTCTTTTTCTCTAGAATATGTTTAGGTATAATAAGTAGTTAGTGGTAAGTACTATGAAAAAAAAAGAAAAAGTAGGGAGTGAAGTGGACCAGAAGTGCAGTTGGTAGTAGGTATTAAATAGGTGAGTCAGGGTAGCATCATTGAGAAAGTGAGATTTCAGCAGACTTGAAGGGCACAGGCAGATGCCACCTCCAGTGGGCAGGTGATGACTCCAGGATGAGGGAAGACTTCCACTGTTAGCAAGGCAGATAGTGAAAGATTTTAAGTAGAGAAAACAGCTAGTCCTTAAGGTGAGACTATTTCCTAGAAACAGCAAGACCAGTGTGGTTGGAGCTGAGTTCACAACGACTGAGGTGATGAGTTCCAGAGTTGTCATTCCCCTATCTCGTCTGACAGATTCCGGGATCCCAAATCCCAGCGGACGCACCAGGCCCAGGTGGCATTCCAGGTGTGTGTGCGCCCAGGCTCCTACACACCTGGGCCCCCCTCTGCTGCCCTTCAAGAGCCTCCTGATCCTCACTTCAGTCCAGCTGAACTGGAGTGGGTAACCAAGGAAAAGGGAGCCACACTCCTCTATGCCCTGCTGGTACGGGTGGAATGAGGGGTGAGACCCCACTACTACAAGCACAGTTGGGCCCTGGGCCCGTGGACTCTGGGTAACGACTGCCTCCACCTCATTCCAATGACCCACGGCATGCCCGGGTGCTCAGTCTCCACAGATGCGCGGGAGCACGCAGGCAGGCTTGGATTTAGATGGGAAGTGGAGCACATCTCCGTGCCCAGCTGCGCAGAACATCCCTCTGATGTGAGGGAGACTGTGGGGAGCCCAGCTCCATGCCCTGGGTGCCCCTCTTCATGCACTGATCTGGGGAACAAGACTCCCTATCACCTCCCTCCCCATATCACTTAATTTATTTCCGTTTTATTTTTTTGGTTACTGTGAATCCCACAGGAGACTCTCCCTGTGCCCCACATGAAGCTGCTTTTTCCGAGGGCCACCGGGCGGGGAGTAGGGAGGGGCGGGCGAGGTAAAGATGGGGGCCCTCTGTACAGGTATTACTGACTCTGATTTCTAAAGAGCCAATAAACACCGTCTCAGAACATCCACCTCTGCGTCTCAGTCTTGAGTTCCTCTTGGAAGCGCCCCTGCCCCCGGGACTGTCGCAGTGCACCGAGCCCTGGAAGGGCAGACGGTGAAGCGCAGCCCGGCGAAGTAGAGGGCTGCGGCCGACAGAGGCAGGACCGCCTCCGGGCGTCTGTAATGGTGAGACCGTTTCACAATGGGCCGGAAGCCGTAGCCAAAGATCGATTTACTACTTGCACAGCTGCGCGTCCGGAGCCAGGCGGAAGGGTTTGGATGCCACGGGCACCCGTCGTCCATCGTCTCTGTCTGTTTCTCTCTATCCTACCCATACTGCAGCTGCATTCTTGACCCGGAAGAACTAGTTCTACTTGCCGGATGTGACGAAAGCAACTGAGGCGCCCAGGAGGCCGCGGAAAAGGAGCAAAGCAGGCGGGTAGGGAGGGATTGGCGCTTGGGACTGGCGAGGAGGGGGCGGGAACGCTGAGGCTAGAGCCCCTGGCTTTGCCCGCGCTCGCAGCCGAGCCGTAGGTGCGGCCGGGCCGGCCAGGCGCCCAGGATACGTAACTGGGGCAGCGAGTGGACGGGCTTCCTCTCGGCCAGGCGCGGTCCCCTGAGCACCCGCCTCCCCGCAGGCCCTGTCCGAGGTCTGGCATTCAGTAACAACAGTCGGGCGGCCACGGCCCGGGCGTTCCCGGCGACACCATGCCCGCGCTCCTGGAGCGCCCCAAGCTTTCCAACGCCATGGCCAGGGCGCTGCACCGGCACATCATGATGGAGCGGGAGCGCAAGCGGCAGGGTGAGCTGGGGCTAAAGTAGGCGGGCCCACAGTCCTGGGAAGCACTCCTAGCCCAGGGCTGACTTCCACCTACCTTCCGACCGGTGTGCCGACCGCCGAGGCTGGAGGAGGGAGGAACAGCCCCGTTTGTTATGTCTAGAGGCTGGGTCTATGCTTCAGTCTTGAGCTGGGAAGGACCTTGGAGAGCACCTAATAGCATTTTCATCTCCTTCCCTGTTGCAGTGATGGGGAAACCTATGCCCCCCAAAGGAAAAGAACTATTGCCAAGGGCCTACTGTAACGTTGGGATAATCAGTTTCTGCTGGCTTTCAATGTCCTAACTTTTTTTAATTTTAACTACCCTGGTACTTTCCTATTCTGCCTGACTCTTCCTCCAGAGGAGGAAGAGGTGGACAAGATGATGGAACAGAAGATGAAGGAAGAGCAGGAGAGGAGAAAGAAAAAGGAGATGGAAGAGAGAATGTCACTAGAGGAGACTAAGGAGCAAGTAAGCAGTCCCTTGGTCCCTCTCACCTCTGACTTCTTCCCTTGGCTTTCCTGCTTTCCTCATCTACTCTCCACTTCCAGATTCTGAAGTTGCAGGAGAAGCTTTTGGCCCTACAGGAAGAAAAGCATCAGCTTTTCCTCCAGCTCAAGAAAGTCTTACATGAGGAAGAAAAACGGAGACGAAAGGAGCAGAGGTGGGTCCTGAAAGCTAAAAATAAAATTGTGAGGAAATTGAAACTGGAGTCAGGTAACCAAAGATCAGTGTTTAATAGGAAGAGGGAGCACCTGTCCTTGATTTTGACCCACCTGCCTTTCCAGTGACCTGACCACCCTGACATCAGCTGCATACCAGCAAAGCCTGACCGTGCACACAGGAACGCACCTCCTCAGTATGCAGGGTGAGGACAAGAGAGACTGTGGGACAAAATTAAACTTCCTGGGGGTTGCATCCTCCCATTTCAGCATCATAAAGACCCTATCCCTATCTAGGGAGCCCTGGAGGACACAATCGCCCAGGCACCCTTATGGCAGCTGACAGAGCCAAACAGATGTTTGGACCTCAAGTGCTTACTGTGAGTGAAGCAGAGTTGAGTCTAGACTTTACATTTTCCTATTGCTTTTACTCAGAGCTCAGCATTCTTGCTGCCAGTATTGAAATCAGGAGTGTATTCAGCATTTATTGTACGGGTAGGAATGGGTACTACAGAAATGCGTAATTCACTGTCTGCTTTCAAGGGGTTGACAAGCAGAGTTCTCATCCTCCCTCCTTAGACCCGGCACTACGTGGGCTCGGCAGCTGCTTTTGCAGGGACCCCAGAACATGGGCAATTCCAAGGCAGCCCAGGAGGGGCCTATGGTACTGCTCAGCCCCCACCTCACTATGGGCCGACACAGCCAGCTTATAGTCCTAGTCAGCAGCTCAGAGGTGAGCAGTGGGAAGATGGAGGGGACTTGGGTGTGAGCTTCAGAGGGAAGTGTGTTAGCAACGGGTCTTTGGAGTCTCTAATGGCTATGCCTGCCTTTCTCAGCACCGTCAGCGTTTCCTGCAGTGCAGTACCTGTCTCAGCCACAGCCACAGCCCTATGCCATGCACGGCCACTTTCAGCCCACCCAGACAGGTGATACCCCACACAGGAGCCCCAGCTCCATGGGCCCTCTCTTCCTCCCTGTCCTATTCTGTTCATTTCACAAACCCCTTCCTCCTCCCCCTCTAGGGTTTCTTCAGCCTGGGGGTGCCTTGTCCTTGCAAAAGCAGATGGAACATGCTAACCAGCAGACTGGCTTCTCTGACTCAGTAAGTGTGGAGCAATGGGAGGCCAGGGTAAGGACTATGCCAAAGGAAGTCCAGGCTGCCTCAGGCCCCCACTCTGTTCTCTCGTAGTCCTCCCTGCGCCCCATGCACCCCCAGGCTCTGCACCCAGCCCCTGGACTCCTTGCCTCCCCCCAGCTCCCTGTGCAGATGCAGCCAACAGGAAAGGTGAGGAGAATCATCATATGGTTGTAATCTCGGTATTACCAGGGAGACAGGATTAGGATTGGGTAGGACAAGTGGTGGCCCCCACTCACTACCTGGTTGTTCCTTTCCTGGGGGTGCGATGGGTGGAAACCAATAAGGGTATCAAGTGGAGAGGAGAGTATCCACACTGATGAAAGCCCTCATGTCATCACTTACCAGTCGGGCTTTGCAGCTACCAGCCAACCTGGCCCTCGGCTTCCTTTCATTCAGCACAGCCAGAACCCACGTTTCTACCACAAGTGACCATCAGATTTTTATCTTCAACCTCACCCTCAAACCATGGATGAGGGCTCCCCTTCTTGTGTGTCCCAGACCAATAAAATCTACCTGCCACTGCCCCTGGCTGCTGCTGTTTGTGTTGGCTCCAACCCAACTATCTAGAACAAGCCAGGGCTGCCTGGGATGGAGAGGCAGCTGGCTTGTAGGTCCAGAGCTCATTGGGACAGTAGATTAGTTAACTAAGTTGCAAGTTCAATCGGTTCCTGGCTTCTGAATATACACTGTAGACAGCAAGGGCTCATTTACCTCAAACCCTAAAAGAAACAGCTGAATTGGGGCCTTCATATTAAACTTGTTTTATTCAGGTTTGATTTTAACAAATGTGTCGGGGAGAGAGCCCGCAGGAAAGGGTGAAGCCCATGGGGGCAGGGCCCTCCCAGATGCCTGAGGAGGGGGCAGGTCCCCTCCCCTCTCCTCCTCTTCCCTCCCCATCTAAAGGGGCTTGGGGAGAGATACAGGCAGGGGAGGGGGCTGGTCCCCAGTCTGTGGGGGTGGTGGTTGGGGGAATGGGCTACAGGATACAGGGGACCAGACCAAGGACAAGTGAGGGAAGGACAGAGGACCATTTGTCAGAATCCACAGCGTTCTGATTTCAGGTTGAATTAAAAAAAAAAAAAAAAAAAAACACACTAAACCACAAGCAGCACCTGCCCCCTTTCCCCCACCTGGGCTGTAGTGCGAGGGGAGAAGGAGGGCAGCTTCACCAATGCCATTACTCGCTCCTGGCCAAGGGAGCAGGGTGAAGGGCAGGGGTCCCCGACAGATTGGGGTGGGGGTGGGAAGAAACCAAAATAAAACATCAAATAAATCGTGTAGGAGTCCAGCCAAAGGCCAGGCCAGAGCTGGGCCAGGCTGGGGGAGGGGGCCTTTGCAGGCTCCAGGATCACTGCTGCCACCACCGCCACCCTGGGTAGGAGAGAGAAACCAGGTTAATACCTTCAACACAGGAGATAAGGTTGGGAGGATGGGACCAGACTAGGGGCAAAATAAGCCTCAGACCATTTAAGACTAGTGAAGCTCTTTGATAGGGACAACAAAATGCACGTGAGGGACAGGGACCATCGCACTTACCTGGGAGCCAGTTATTTTGCCATGGCCTTGATTGCAACAGCTGCCTCCTCTGTCATGGCAGACAGCACTGTGATCTTGGGTGGGGAGGGGGGTGATGCACAAGAGGGCTAGTCAGCAGAAGCTCAAGCTCAGGAAGCAGCAGAATGAACAAAGCTGGGCACAAAGGAAAGGGGGCAGGGGCTGCACATACCAGGATCTCTTCTCCACAGTCATACTTCTGCTCAATCTCCTTGCCAAGGTCTCCCTCAGGCAGACGAAGGTCCTCCCGTACCTCCCCACTGTCTTGGAGCAGTGATAGATACCCATCCTGGATGCCAATCAGCTAGGAACAGATAGGGAAGG